ATATATATATATATATATATATATATATATATATATATATGTATGTATGTATGTATGTATGTATGTATATGTATATATGAATGTATGTACATGTATAGGTATATATATATATGTATGTATGTAAGTGTATGTATATGTATATGTATATGTATATATATATATATATATATGTGTGTGTGTGTGTGTGTGTGTGTGTGTGTGTGTGTGTGTACATGTATATATATATATATATATATATATATATATATATATATATATATACATATGTATACACAATATGTGTATCTGTGTGATACATATTATTATTATCATTATCATCATTATTATGTGGCGCCTCACTGAACTTGAACCTGTGACTCGTACTTTGAAGAACCCTGTATTAAAGCTCTTAATTTTCCACAAATCTAACCACCACATATATCTCTCGTCTCCCGTGGCCACCTTCCTTCCCTCCTTCGCCATTACCTTCCACTGCATTTCCTTACTCACAGACTCCCTTACCTTCAGGAAATGAACGGAAGCTTCGTGACAAACATGACTGATAAAAGTCCCATTGCCGAGGCATTTTTCCGGGACAGAAGCACAGCGCGACATCAGGAAGGAGTTGTGTGACAGGAAACTCGAGCGACTGGCCAGGTGGTCGACGAGGTCCTTGTGCCTGAAGTAGCGGCAGTGAAGGAGGTCGTTCAGGAGGCTCAGCCGATGGTGGTGAAGAGTGGTGTTGTCCTCGGGCGCGCGGTGGATCGGCTGCTCAGGGGCAAAGGGCTCGAAGCTGTCCGCGGGAAGGAGAGGGAAGTGTGTGTTATTTCTCGTGTTAATAGAAGTTAGCAGTGCGGTGGGACGCAACTAGGGAGAAGAAGTAAGAAAAAAGAAAGAAGTTCGACGCTTTTCGCGGGAAGTAAAGAGGGAAGTGCCTTAGATGTTTTTATAGAAGCCAGTATTTGAGAGGGAAATGAAAATAATTAAAGAAAGACAGAACAAGAATAATAATAAGAAGAATAAGAAGAAAGAATAATAATAATAAGAAGAAGAACAAGAAGAAAAAAGGAGAAGAAGAATAGGAAGAGGGAGAAAAAGAAGAAAGTAAAGAGAAAGGAAAGGGAGAAGATGAAAATTAGAAGAAAGCAAAGAAGAAAAAAAAAATTAAGAAGAAGAAAAAGAGAGGAATACGAAGGAAAAGAACAAAAAACGAAGCAGGGAAAGAAGAAGAATAGGAATTAAAAAGAACAAGAAGAAATAATAAGAAGAATAGGAAGATGAAGAAGAATAGGAAGAAAAAAAATAAGAAGAGAAATGAAAGAAGAAGGACAATAGGAAGAAGAAGAAGGAGAAGGAGGAGGAGGAGG